CAAATCAAATACTAACAGATTTGTTATAAAATATGTACATCCTGGCAATAAGGAACAGAAAGAACAGGTTGGTATAGTTAATGAAAGCAGTAAAAACTCTAATCTGGAATTCCCATGGACTCTAGTTGAGATTGAAAATCAACTAGAAAAGGAAATTGTTAATCTGGAAGGAGAGTTATCTGGAAAATTGGAATAAGGCAATGTTCCAGTGAATCAAAAAAACTTGGATAACAGTGGCATATTCTGCTCTGATCAGTTTTTTTTTTTCAGAATAATCCAATTATCAATTATGGGAAGGGTTGCTTGAGAACTCAGGTAGATCCTTTGGGATTACCTGTGAACTCAAGTACTCCCTAGCAATCAAAGGATTTTAATGTTCAGAAAAATTTGGATACAAATTCTGTAGAAAAGCTGGATCAAAATGTTGTGATCAGAAATACTTGTGCAGCTAAAAGTGGTACAACCGTGGATATTCATGTAAGTAATGTTAATTGTAATATGTTCTCATTACTTCTTTCTGTTGATGAAGAGGGGAAGGAAAACATGAATGATAAATCTATAAATGGCGTGGAGGACACTGAAGAAGGGGAGCTAATAGAAAAGGATACAATTGCTGAAAAAGAATTGGTTAAAAATGCTGGAAGGACTATAATAAAGAAAGAAGGCAAAAGTGAGGTGATTCAGAACAAAGTGGATGGAGGTAATACAGAAAAGGCTATTCCAACTAACCAAAAACAGAAACTCTTGAAAGAGCTTAAGCACTTTGGGCCATTAAATAATTCTACTAGATCAAAAAAATCTGAAACACTTCTTAAAGGTAAATGTGGGGGACATTCCCCACATTTATCAAAATAACTTCCCTTGCCTTTTGGAATTGTAGGGGGGCTAATAAGAGGGAAGCCTCCCTTTATTTAAAAGAATTTGTGAAAGATTGGGATGTCTTCTTTGTTGGTGTGGTTGAAACAAAAATTTCTTCATTTGAAAAATATGAAGTAAATAAATGCTTGGGTGATGATTGGAATTATTTTCTCTATCCCTCGATTGGAGCTTCGGGAGGTATTATGGTTTTCTGGAAAAATAACATTACAAATTTTACACTCATAGAAGCTTCTCCCCAATGTGTGATTGGGGAGTTAAGTCTTTTCAATAATAAGAAGTGGTTGATCTCTACTATTTATGGCAACAAAAATTCAAATTTGAGAAGAAATTTGTGGGAAACTTTAGAAAGGAATAGCAATAAAAAATATCCCTATGGTAGTGGGAGGGGATTTTAATTGCATTCTTTCACAAGAAGAAAAGAGAGGTGGAAAAAAATTCTCCTTTTCTCAAGGCCCTCAAGAAATGGCTGCTTATATGTTAAGGAAAGATCTTCATGATGTGAGAATTATAGGTCCCAAATTTACATGGTGCAACAACAAAAGTGGAAATTCTCGCATCCTTGAAAGATTGGATAGATGTCTCTTAAACTCAAAAGCCTTAAATGTAATTCAGAATCCAGTGGTAAGACACCTTCCAAGAATTTCTTCTGATCATTGTCCAATAAGTCTTAAAATTATTCAGCAGAAATTACACCAAAACAAAATGATTTATTATGAAGATGTCTGGTCCTCATTTCCATCCGCCAAAGGGATTGTTTTAAATACTTGGAACAAACCTGCTAAAGGGAATTACATGGAAATTGTGAATTTAAAGTGTAAAAGAACTTTAAAAGCTCTACACTTCTGGAGCAAGAAGAAACTACAAAACTTCAAAGAATGCAATTTTCGGTTGAAATCTGAGATTGCAAATCTTCAATTAGAGAAGCTAATGGTAATGGCTTGGGAGTTGAGAAGCTGGAATTACATAGAACTAAAATTCATGATTATAACGTGAACTCAGCTCGGCTAAGCACATGGTGGAGAAAGAGCAAAGCTAAAATGGATTCAGGAGAATGATTCAAACTCTAAATTCTTTCATTCCTTTTGCTAATGGTAGAAGAATGGGAAACTTCATTCATCAACTAAAGAATGAGGAAGGAAATTTAGTAGAAGACCAAGCTGCTATTGAGGATATTCTTTTGAAATTTTTTAACAACAAATGGAGAAACAGATCTGGGTATGTAAAGGGCTGGCCTCCTGTTTTAAAATCCTTAACTGAGACGGACTGCATAATGTTAGATAAAGAATTCTCATTTGCTGAACTTGCTACGGTCATCCAAGAAAGTGGAACTAACATTGTTCCTGGAATGGACGGTACAACATATTCTTTCTTCAAAAACTATTGGTATATAATGGGTAATGATGTATGGAAAGTAGTCCAGTAGTTTTTTGTAACGGGGCATATTTGATCAAGCTGGAAGGAAATGCTTGTTACCCTCATCCCAAAGATACTAAATCCAAATTCTCCATCAGCTTTTAGACCTATAAGCATGTGTGGTACTTTATATAAGATCATAGCAAAAATGATCTTAAACAGACTTATGAAAGTGATTGATAGTCTCATATCAGAGGAACAAACAACATTTATAAAACGTAGACCCTTATCAAACCACATTCTCTTAGCCCAAGAATTGTTTAATAAGCTCAAAATTTCAAAATCCAAAGAAGGTTGGGTAGCCATTAAGCTTGACATGGAACAAGCTTATGATAGTATGGCTTGGTATACCTTGAGACAGATTTTGAAGGAAATGAAATTCCCAAAGAAATTTCTGAATTTCATTATGGAATGTGTTGAATTTCCTGAATTCTTTTTAAGAATAAATGGTAAGGTCTCCAAAGGGATTAAAGCTTATGTGGATTTAGACAAGGTTGTCCTCTTTCACCTTATTTGTTTATCTTTTGCTCTCAATTATTAACCAATGACTTTTGGTTTAGAGGAAGGAACTTGGGTATCAAAATATCGGCAAATGCTCCTAAAGTGTCTCACCTTTTATTTGCTGATGATATCCTATTATTCTCCCAAGCTAACATGAGGAGTATTAGAAGGCTCAAGGAAATTATCTCATATTTTTGTAACAGATCTGGGCAGATTGTAAATAAGCATAAATCTGTCATTGTATTCTGGAATTCAGCCAAAAAAGGAAGAAAAAAGCCATTTCTAATCTGTGGGGATTCAAAATGGTGAAATAAGTTTTTTATCTAGGCATCAAATTGAACTTGAGAAGGTTATTAGCATCAGATTTCAATTATATCATTGAGAAGGTAAATTCCAAGCTTAATATATGGGGTAAGCAAATGATTTCACTAGCTGGAAGAATCGTTCTTACGAAATCAGTTCTAGCAGCTCTCCCTGTATTTGCGGCTACACACGCTTTAATTCCTAAGAGAACTCTCTATAATATTGAGAAAGCTGCTAGGAATTTTATTTGGGATAGACAAGGAGGTCTTCATGGACTACATTATATATCATGGGAAAATATGTGTAAATCATGGAAGGAAGGAGGTTGTGGCTTAAAATCAGTGAGTGCTATAACTACTACTCTTAGAGCAAAATTTGCTTGGAATTTCTTAAAAGAAAAAGACTCTTTGCTCAATAAAGTATTGAAGGCTAAGTATGGTTTGAATTTTGGGGAGAATACCAATAGAGCTAATAAATCAGCGACCTGGAAGATTTTGAATGAGGGTGCTTTGGCTCTTAGACCTATCACAAGATGGAAATTATCTACAGGAAAGGCAATAAACATGCTTAAAGACACTTGGATTCTAGATAGGAGTCTAGATAAATGGCCTACATTTATAGCAATTGAAAAAACTGAATTCCCGCCGCTAGAAAGCTTTATTTTAGAGGGATGCTAGAAAATAGATCTTCTTAATAAAAACTTTGGGAAGGAGCTCGTGAATATTATTGTTCAAATTGAAATTTATCCTTTTCATTCAAAGGATAACAATGAGCTAAAGAAGAACTTCGCAGGCAAAAGCATTATAGCTTTAGCTTCTTCATATAAATATGGGATTAACAGAACTGTGGACTATGGAGAATGGCTAAAAAAATTAAAGCTCAATCCTAGGATTGAATGCTTTTGGTGGCGTATTCTCAATGAGGCAATTCCAACAAATGATTTCCTGATGAAGAGAAGATTACTGGGACATAATTCATGTCCCAGAGGGTGTGTTGAACAAGAAAATATCGACCATGTCATGGTACAATGCTCTAAACTGCAGCAAGCAATTGGAATTCTCAGGAAATGGGGTTTCTTATGTCCGTTGTTCTCCTCTGCCAATGACTGTAAGTTTCATTTGAAAATATTATCTGAGGAAAATAAATATATGGCAAATTTATATAGTTCTATAGTTTATTTTACATGGAAGAGTAGGAATCTAATAAAGCATGGGAATAATGAATGGAGTGTGAACTTCATTGCCTGCAATGCCATTAGTTATGCATCAATTTCATCTTCCTATCTACTCATGGACCACTGGGATGCTAACCAGCCATCACGGCTGATTTCTTTTTGGCACCCCCCGCCCCCTGAATGGATAAAAGTTAATATTGATGCTGCTCTTTCTAGTAACAATAATGGAGGGATTGGTGGAGTTTTTAGAGACTCTAAAGGCAGATTTTTACTAGCTTTTGGAATCAATTGCATACATTGGGATATTGGTACTTTGGAGCTTATAGCTATCCGTTCTTTAAAGAATTTCATATCAAATTGGATGCTAGATGCAAAAGGTCTAATTATAGAAGGTGATAATTTCAACATTATCAATCTTCTACAAAGATCAAAGAATAATGTTTCTCGGAATGGCTTTCAAGAAGACACTGAAGACCTATCATTCTTGGATGGTTTTGGTAACATTCTTTTTCACTTTGTTAATAGAAATTGTAATAAGTTAGCACACAATTGTGCTAACCATGCTTTAATTGAAGATTTTCTTTGGGAAAATCTTAGTAGCAATAAGATTCCTCCTTTTTTTAATGTTTTAAAGGAGGAATGTGATAGAATTTCTATCACTTAGTATCTTGTATTTGGTTCTATTTTTTTAATGCAATCTAGCATTTCCTTTAAAAAAAAAAACAATATATATGGCATGCACAACTCAATATAAATATCAAGGAGAAGTGAGGACACAGTACACAATTCAAAAAGTCACATTTAAGAAAATACAAAAGCATGGGCATGATTCTCTTCTACTTTGTTTTCAAAATAAACAAAATTTTGGAGAAAGAAAATTTTTTTTCTCCCAATGAAAGCAAAATAACGGATGTGAATTTCTAAGCAGGGAAAAACACAAGTTTTAATCCATTCCCCATTTTCTTACTACTCTCTGTTTTGCAGATAGTGGCGGTTGATATGCATCCTTTGCCATCTGATCATTTCCTGATGTAGAAAGGCTGGTTCTTCCTACAGTACTTGCTGATAGAAATGTAAACCAGTTCCTGAACCCTCGTAGTACAAACAGCAAGGAATTGGAGACGACAGCAAACAGTTTATTTCCCTTCCCTATCAAGAGGTACTGCCACCGAAAGGAAGACGATTAAGATGAGGAGAAGAATAAAAGGTTTTAGAGATTATGTAATTGTTTCTAACCAAGGAGATGATGCCAATTAGGGCAAGGCTTGCTTGTTGTGCTTCCTCCCAGAAATGCGCCCCACCAAACCAGCCAAACCACCCACCGCCACCAAACCAGCCACCTCGGCCAGCCGTGCCTCCGCCGCCGCCCATCTCCTCCCTTTTCTGAATTTCTTTGCTCCATTTCTCGAACACAGTTTTCTTTCCATCAAGTGCACTTTCAAGTGCCTTTCTGGCTTGCTCCTGCAGTGATTAAATGACATTTTGAAGGAAAAGCAGTTGAGTGAGGATTAGGACGGACTGAAAGTAACTGGTTTTGAGTAGCCCCAAAAGATTTCAGCCAGCTGATTCTTTTTTTAATTTTAACTCTTTGGAGGTCAAAGGTAAATAAAACTCAGACTAGAGATTGGTGGGCTTGTCAATATATGATTCAATTTTAGTTCTTCCAAAAGATAAGAAAATTTGGAACAGGTAAGTTCGCCAAGCCAATCCATCACAAATGTTTTCTAAATTTTTAAATTTATGTAAGAAAAAGTAACATAAATGAATGGAACAGAACTTTTAAGGGTGCGTTTGGGGCGCCGTTTTTACTGTTGTACGGTATGAAACGCAATCGAGTTGGGGTTTGGGGAGACGAGGCTCCGTCCTCAAAATTTTTGCGTCCCGCGGCTACTTTTTCCGTCCTGAAGTAGGCTCCTGCTTTCGCTGCTTTCCGCTGTTTGAGGGTAAGAAGAAGACGCAAATGCCTTGCGAAATACACCGCATCTTCCACCGTGAAGTTCGGCACTTCTTCCATCGTAAAACCCATTGGCTTTCTCAAATTTTCCGGGGGAAGCTAGGATTAGGATGGCCGGAGGCGGAGCAAAGGCGGAGCCGGAGGAAGAGCTTTCGAGTAGCAGTGGTGGCGGGAGTTATGAGAACTGGGAGAGGTCAGAAGAAGGCATTACCAAATCCAATAACAAAGTGCTGATAGATGGTTTTCTCGATCCTCTTCCTCATCAAAAATCCTCCAACCTGCAATGGTTCTCTAGTGAGTTTGTTCCCGTGGTCGCTTCTTTCCTTTATTTTTTCCTTCAATCCAGAGTTCTACCATATTTCATTGTAAAAGAAAATCAATCGGTCTCATGTTCAATGCGTGCGTTTTTTTTTTTTTTTTTAATCTTTTGGAATGAAAGATATCAATTTGGAAGGATCTGGAGATTGGAGCCGCTGGCTTTCTCTTTCGCCCTCTCCTCCCATCTTTAGTGAAAGTGAGCTACCGGCATTTTCTCTCCTGCATTTTTGCTATTTAATTGTGGGATTTAAAAGAGATTTTGAGCTAAAACGGCTAAACGATGCTCGACGAAACTATTGAGGTTGGGCAACCGAGGCCGGAGGCGCTTGGAGTTCTACGCTGTATGGGAGGGATTTTCTTTGCACCGGCGAGAGTGAGAAGGGGAGCAGCAACAGCAGCAGCTATGCGTATTTCATAAAAAATTTGATGCACACAAATTCTATTTAAGTATTTGATTTGAATTTAGAATTTTTAGTTTGTTATCATATAAATTTAAAAATATTTATATTTAATAAAAAAATTTCATGCTAATATATAGAAGGGTATCAAGATAATTTATTGTTACACAGCAGCTTGGCAGTTTTACTACCCAAACAAATTTTATTGATTTTTTTACAACAACTTTATAAAGTAGCTTTCTGGACAACAACTTCACAACCTACTTTACCGACAACTGCAGCCGTCCCAAACGAAGCCTAAAACTAAACCCACAAAAGTTGGAATTATGTCAATGATGGTTGTAAAAAATTGATGATAATGATGATGTCTAAAAACCAACGCAGGAACATGCCAAATTAAAAATTGCAGGAGCTATTAATTTGTTAAATTACAACTTTATCCATTTAGTCATGGTGCAGATAATCTGCAACCAAGTTATAATCCAGTTCAAATAGCCAAAATGAAAATAATTTTGAGAAGTATAGCTAACAAAGCATCACTTGACTTAGTTTTAAGTGTTTCGAAAGAAACAAAAAAAATCATGGTTTAACAAGAGAAGGCAACTGGAAACCAACTTCTGCACAATGCACTGACTTTCTTTTAACAAAAAGTTATTTGCTTCAACTTTATATACCCAATAAAAATTGAATGGTTAGTCTGGCTAGGAAACCCCTGGCGTTTTAAGAAAAAATCACCAAAACAATTATAAAAGTAAACGTGTTAGATGAATCGGACACCTTCACCAATTACAGCCAAAAAAGCTAGTCGTGCACAGAAAATGTGCTCATAGTAAAATGAAAGGCACGCTACAAAAGAAGCGTGCAAAATAGGAACTAATGTTTAATTAATTAGCCAAATTCATTGGGAATTTTACAAGTTACCATGGAATTAAATACTAACAATAATTACAAAAAACTAAAAAAATAAATAAGATCTACATCCACAAACTGTGGAAAAATCGGGCCAAGAGAAGAGGACACTACGGCGGAAGTACTCAGATAACTTCATTTCATTCCGACTTTGAATAACTAGAGAAATCATTTGGGCTACATGAGCTTTAACAGATTGCTTTTCTTAGCAGCAGCCAAACTTCAGAACTACCAGCAATATTCATGCCCAGGCATTCTGATGCCACTGCTACAACATGGTTAAAATAAAAAAAAGGTGGTGGTAAAAATGATGATGATGATGTAATAAAAAGCACCGTAGGAGACTAGGAGTATGCCAAATTAAACTTTGAAGGGGTTCATTATTTAAATTACAACTTCTTTCATTTCGTTATGGTAAAGATAATCCGCGACCAAGTTCTAATTCAGTTCAAATACTCAATATGAACATGGTTTTTGTGACGTGTAGCAAGCCAGAGCATCAATTGGCTGAACTTTGAGTGTTTCGAAAGAAACAAAAAAAGTCATATTTCAATAAGGGGAGGCAACTGGCAAACAAGCTCTACACATGTGCGGTGATTTTCTTTTAACAAGAATTTGTTTACTTCATCTTTAGATACCCATGACAATCGTTTATTAGATTTAAATGAGAATTTGAATATTAATAGGACACAAGGGAGAAAAAAAATCACGTAGCTGACCCAATATAGTGAGATAAGGCTTGAAGTTATTGTTGTTTCCTTAGATAGCCATGAAAAAAGCTAATGTGGCATGGAAATACCTTATCTAATTAAGTACAAATAATTGGCGACCAAGTCCTAATCTATGTTGCACGGATACTCTTATTTACGAGGCGTGCTATATCGGACACGTGTCGGATATGGATACGCCTCCGATACGGCATGGATACGTGTCGGATACAGCTTTGCCGTGTCCAATTAAAATATTATTTAAATTTGACTGGACACGCGTATCCGATATGCGTGTCCTATTAAAGAAAAAATGGAACAACAATTTACCCTATTCTTTTCGGCTTCCCGGCGTTTCCGCTCAATATCCATATTCATTTATGCGGCTGAAACATTTCAAAGAGCTAGGTTTTTCGCTTCCACACAAGTGTTCGTCTTCTTCGTATAGTTGAAGGATCGGCTCGATGACGCGAGCATAGAAGCAAACAGGATCATCCTTAGTCGACAAATTAAAGAGGCATGACGACGCGAGCATTAAAGTCGATAGGATCATCCTTCGTCAACGGAGCGGCTCGACAACGCGAACAGTGAAGGCGTCGTGAGCAGTGAAGGTTCGTTTTCTTCGTTTTCTTAATCATAAGCTCGGTATCGAAACTCGGTACTTAGTACTCGGTACTCGGTACCGCTTGGTACTGAACGGTACTAGAACTCAATATTGCTCGGTACTGCTCGATACCGAGCGGTACTGGAACTCGGTACCGCTCGGTACCGAGCGGTACTGGAACTCGGTACCGAGCGATACTGGAACTCGGTACTGCTCGGTATTGGAACTCGGTACCGCTCGGTATTGGAACTTAGTATTGCTCGGTATTGGAACTCGATATCGCTCGGTACTGTAACTCGATATTGCTTGGTACTGTAACTCGGTATTGCTCGGTACCACTCGGTATTGCTCGGTACCACTCGGTATTGCTCGGTATAGAGGGGTACCAAATGGTACTAAGCGGCACCAAGAAGCTAAAACATACTCGGTACCGCTCGGTATCTTTTCATAAAAATAACTTTAAAAATAAACAGCACTTCAAAATTACTCTTACAAAAAAAAATTTGTTTCAAGGGCACTGCCCCTTGACCCCGCGACCTGATTGGGCAGGTCGAACCCCGTCAGGGAGCAGCGCCCCCCTGGACCCCCGACAGAGTCGCAACATATCTATACTTTTAGTTAAATTTTTTCATGTTTCAAATTCATATGTTTTAATTTGTATAGATCTTTTGTAGGATAATGAGCTCTAGTGGAGTAGGAATTGGTTCTGATGATGGTCCATCAGAAATTAATATTGAAGATAATAAACCTCTATGGGGTTATGTTACAAAAATAAGTAAAACATCATAAGGGGGAGGAGGCAACATTGCATTCAAATGCAAATTTTGTAATACAACATACAAAGGATCATATTATAGAGTGAAAGCTCATTTGTTGAAGATTAGTGGTCTTTTTTTTTTAAGAATGCAAAAGCAATTACTAAAGGAAAAAAAACCAAGATACAAGCTAGACAAAAGACTCACATTCCTTCTTCAATAAAGAACAAAGTAAAGGAGGAATGTTAGCAAAAGAACTATCAAACCAAAAATTGTTATCTAAAGCCAAAGTAGCATACATATCGGCTACCTTATTACAATATCTATCTATATGGTGAAGAATTACCTTATTGAAATCGGCCAAGAAGAGAAAATCGTCCTCCATCCGATTATAGTATTGCCAATTCTTATTCAAAGAATTTTGAATGAACTTGATAACATTGATGTTATCCCCTTCAATAATGATCCCTTCACTCTCAGGCATCCACGGTTGAAGAAATTTTCTAAAAGTCATCAAAGCCTCCAACTCAAGGTGAGCTATATCCCAATGCGTTCTTCTTTCTCCAAAAGCAATCAGTAGTCTTCCTTTATGATCCCGGAAACAACCACCAATTCCAGCATTATAAGAAGTAAGAAGGGCTGCATCAACATTGATCTTAATCCAACCAAGCGGTGGAGGGTGCCAAAAATTTTGAAACTCCCTAAGGAGATTAGCACCCCAGCTATCTATGGTTGGACTAGCAGATTTAAAAGAAGAAGACTGTTAGCAGCTATAGTATCTACAGAATTTACAGATTTCCCTTGGTTCACTTCATT